AAGTACCACTTTTGAACCGATCATATGGAATTTTGTGTCACACGCCCGCGGCGTGTTCTTCGGTGTATCTGTCGTCGGGAAGGATACGCGTATGTTATATAATCCACTTAAAGTAAGATACAGTCCCTCGCGGAGATGCGCGTCGTAAACATTTATCTATTCAATCTAATATTAACGATCGTTCGGACCACCATGTGGCGATACGCGCTGTTCGTACGTGACGGAGGCGTCAAAGTAGCGACTCGAGATCGTACCGCGTACCGCACAGCTAAATCTCACAGTATCGAATATTAGTAATCCCGATCATTCGATTCATCGATGCCAGTAGCGTCGATCTCATCATTCAAGCACACGAATAGGCTCTAAAAAATTATCCGCGCCGTCGTTTCAATCGTGAGTTTGGTGAAAGGGCAAGTCTCGAGTGAATTTTGCATTCGGGTCTTTGCTCAAGACTCTAACGTATTCACGCCATTGTCCAGCGACAATGAAATCTTCCTCGTAAACAGATAGGTAGATTTATCTATCTGGAAATACTTAACGCAATCGACTGAAATGCAAAAGTTTACAGCAATGTGTTCCGTACAATCATGTTACATATCTCTCCCTGAACAATTGAGTATTTGAAGCAATTAATTTTGTCTTGGGTCTTTTTTCAGAGATATTCTTTTTTAGCTGTAACTTTTTCCCTTGAGAATCGGATGTACTCTCTTCGATCTTTGATTGTGCGTTTCATCGTTATTTAAGTATAGAGTAAATAGAGATGTAGAAACTTCGTGTGCGTTTATCAGGCCCAAGACAATGCAGAAGGGAGAGGAAGGGAGGAAGAGTGATAATGAAAGCGACAGTGGAAGTGAAAGTAAGAGCGGGTGCGAGAATATAAGACGTACTTGTAAAGTTTCCGCGAAAGTTCGTGATTCGTCATATGAATGTTAAAGATTAATGCATCTTCCATCGACATCATTACGACCTCGTCGCACTCGCGTCACCGTTCGTTGGTAATTATTGACATAACGAAGTTTTGACAAGTAAAAAGCACAACTCGACGAGAGCTTGCGAAAGTGAGAGGGGAACTTCGCAAAACTGTGTAATTTCTAACCCTATCGAAGTTCTGCGAAATGTGTAACGTTGTTGTATTCACTGTGGATATGTTGAGGCTTATACAGAGTTTATCACTGACGTTATCGCACGATCATACTGACCAGTTTTCCTCTGCACGAGCAGAAATGCGTACGCGATGATTCGTGTTCGGACTTCGAGCTAATTTCTTCAATCTTCCCCATTTAAATTGACGTCGTACTTTGCGATGTACTTGTTACGATTATATAGGGTGGGCCAAAATTGTGGAAACAGTCCAATATCTCGAAAGAAAAGCATATTTTAGGAAAATGTTTCAGACAAAAATTAAAGGGTTTCAGAAGATCTATTTAATGGCCAGTTTTGACTTTGAGTGGCGCTGCCAAGGTCAGGTCGAGGTCAACTTTGCTTTTTTAAATAGAAACATATAGTTTTTATTACGAAATTTTATTCTACATAAAGAAACAAACAACTTTTGTTTGAAATTATTTTTTCACCACCTCTATTTTCTAAGATATTTACGGAAATATCTACAAAATTATTGGTTTCAATAATTTTTTACTCGAATTTTATCAACTTCACCGAAAAATAGCAAGATAAAATTTGTTTATTTTTTTCTCATTGAGCTCTGAGAATTTTTTTCAGAATTTTATATAAACTTTTTAGTGCTTCAAGAAAATACAAAAAAATGCAACACTAAAAAGTTAATTAGTATAAAAAAGTTTTTCAAACAAAAGTTGTTTGTTTTTTTATGTAGAATCAAATTCCGTAATAAAAAATACATATTTCTATTTAAAAAAGCAAAGTTGACCCGGACTTGATCTTGGCGGCGCCATCCAAGGTCAAAACTGATACAGCCATTAAATAGATCTTTTGAAACCCTATAACTTTTGTCTGAAACATATTCCTAAAAAATGCTTTTTTTCGAGATTTTCGACTGTTTCCATAAATTTGGAAACTCTGTATGTTATCAATAGTAAAATTCTACCATTTTCGTTTATAATTACTCAATTGTTTATCACTGAGAAATTCTTCGTCGCAAATACTTAGACACGTTCGACTGATATCATGCGATTTGAAATTTATCGACGTACGTAAAACATGGAAAAATTAGAAGAAATTTATTTTTTCATGGATCTAATTCTAATAATGTATTACGATTTATTCTACGTTTAACGGTGAGATGATAACGCGCGACGAAGAATTGATCTTAAAGCAGTCTTAACAACACTCGATGGTATCGGAACTATTTTGAGACTGACAGTTTGCGATAGACACGACATGCAATTCTATTGCATTCGTAAAGGATAGAAGACACGATCTTATGTAATTGCCATAGCTCTCTAATACAATCGTTACGCGCTGATTTTTCGGGCAGTGTCTCGCCTTTCGAAAACCAAGGGTCACAAGTTTTGACTATCATTAGAGTTTAAACTAGATTAGACTTATAAGGAGAGAGTATCATGAATTAGAATGTAAGGGAAAAGCTCGGACGCGTTTCCATATAATTATCTCGTAAAGAGTCGCTGCTGTATAAATGTGACCCGACCTAGCGACGTGCGTGCCTATTCCTTCGCGATTTGCACTCCGAGGATTTGTTGAAGGATAAAACGTTCTTTCGTATTTGTTGCTTTTTCAGCAAGTTGTTGTTGAAGAGTTTAAATGTGCCGATTTTGCCGATTTTGCCTCAGACGAAAACCGAGAACGAACCG